CTTGTTAATAGCAAAAAAAAAAAAGTGGTGGCATACTGGGAAGAGAAAAAAATACAGAAAACAGGGCAGCCAGTGTGGTGCTGCCATTGCTTGTGCCTGGGGGGAGGTTGGGGGGCTGCTGACGTGATGCAAGGAGAGCTTTGGGGTGCTGGGTCACCCACCATCCCTGGTCCTATAGCTGCTCCCATGGTGCAGGGGATGATTTCAGTAGCGCTCACTAACTCATGTTCCCAGCTTGATTTTTTTTTTTTTAATTATATATTAATTTTTTAAAAATACAATTACAGAGACGAATAGTTCTCAGGTCTTAACATGCCTACCGAGGTTGGAAGGAATTACCTGCTGAGCCGCACTGGGCTGCTGGGGATTCTCCGTCAGGAAAAGGGGTTTTTTCACATTTCTCAGACGCTCTCCGCTTGCTTTTTCCTCCTGTGTCTTATCCTTGCTGCTCCCATGGGGTATAGCTATGGGCAAGGGAGTCAAAAGAAGGGCTACAGAAATAAATTTTCGGGTTTTTCAGCAGTTTTTTAGGCCATTTTTGTTAACAAGCGTGAGATTCCTGGTCCCCACCCTGACGCTGTCTGATGATGCTTCCTGCGGGTTGGGGCTTCATCCAACATCTCCATCCTCTCCGTCACACAGGCTGTGCCTATGGGCATGAAAATGCCCCATGAACTAAAGCAGGCGAGTCCTTGTCCCCTCCTGTCCCCGTGGGTGACTGTCAACGTGGTTTTCTTAGCAGCACCTCATTTTTTTTCAGTGTCTGTGCACAGTAGATGATAGTTTATGGAAATGAATCGGTTGTCTGGTGGGTGCAAATAAGGGATTTTAGGGTGTTTGGACTTGCTGGATGCAGCTGGCTGGCACATCTCATCTTTTCCTGTTGGCCCTGAAGGTGGTCCTAGTGATGGCATGAGTGAGGGATGGCCGTGCCGTGGGTGCTGTTGATGGGTCTCAAGCCACTTCTAAAGGTGGACCTGGTGATTTAGGACCCATAACTCGAACCAGAGCTAGGCGATGAAGCAGCACGGGAATCCCCCAAACCTGGGTCAAATTGTCTTAATAGTGGGTTTTGGAAACGGTGGTTGTGCTGTGGGCCTTGATGTGTGCATGGAGAGCATCATGAAGACATGGGCAGGCAAGGACTTGCCAGCATTGCATCACTTTTGGGTTGTATTATCCCCACAGTGCTCAATTTCTCTGTTTCTTCTTTTTTGTTTTTTTTTTTTGTCCTGTTCTGTAGATTCCCAAGTTCTTCAGGAGCCGGGGGATCGGTCACACTGGTGCGTGGTGGCATACTGGGAAGAGAAGACGCGTGTGGGTCGGCTGTACTCTGTCCAAGAGCCCTCCCTGGATATCTTCTATGATCTACCTCAGGGGAATGGTTTCTGCCTCGGACAGCTCAACTCGGACAACAAAAGCCAACTGGTGCAGAAGGTCCGCAGCAAGATCGGCTATGGCATCCAGCTCACCAAGGAAGTGGACGGCGTGTGGGTGTACAACCGCAGCAGTTACCCCATCTTCATCAAGTCGGCCACACTGGACAACCCCGACTCCAGGACGTTGCTGGTTCACAAAGTGTTTCCAGGTTTTTCCATCAAGGCTTTTGACTACGAGAAGGCGTACAGCTTGCAGAGACCCAACGACCATGAGTTCATGCAGCAACCATGGACCGGATTTACTGTTCAGATCAGCTTTGTGAAAGGCTGGGGCCAGTGCTACACGAGACAGTTTATCAGCAGTTGCCCGTGCTGGTTGGAGGTTATTTTTAATAACCGATGACTCGAGACAGAGTGGACTCATGACATTTATACTACTTTGCTGCTATTATTTCCTTCTGAGTGCTTGCTTTTCATGCAACCTTTTTGTTTTTGTTTTGTTTTGTTTGTTCCCTGCCCGCCCCCTGCCCTGTTTTGAGAAATAGCTTATGGAAAGATTTTTTTTGCCTTGGGTATTTTGATAAATATATATATTTTTTAAAAGTGTGAATGACCAATAACTCAGAAGGGCGAGAGAAGAGTGCAAGGGGATGGATCGCATACGATAATTATTTCACGCCTCTGAAAGGATTATTTTATGTGATCAATGGCATTCGGAAGCCACTTGATATACGTTACAGCTCCTTCTCTTGGATAAAACAACAAGATACCTGTATTTTTTATGCACCACCTTCCCCTTACCGCCAGCCATCCCTGGTGACGGTGACACCGAGACCCCTTCCCCAGCGGTGCTAACCCCACATTGCCGCCGAAGGATGGTGCAGAACTTTCCCAACCGGGTCTTTACCCACCCTTTTTATTTTATTTTTCTAGTTGCTGGGTTCACGTCTTGTCACTGTGTTCATCCTTCCACTGCTTTTATTTTTATCGTCATGGATTGATGCAAGGGGAGAAAAACAACAGCGGAGAAACCTCGTGCATGGCCTGTTTGAGCTGAGATGTGAAGCAACAGAAGCCTAAGCCTAAAAGAAACAAAACCAAACCAACAAAACAAATGGGAAAACAGAAGAAAAAGTGTTCACGATAGTTGGTCTGTTGTAACCTGCTTAGATCAGGTTATCCCGGTACCATCCTATCTGGAAATGCAGTTGTGCTTTCATTTCTTCTTGAATTCATACACGAGTATGATACTTTTACACTGTTCTTAGCTCAATGAGCATGTTTAGACCTTAACATAAGCTATTTTTCTAAATATAAAGGTTTAAATGAACAAGAGAGCATTCTCATTGGGACTTTAGCATTGTAGTGCTTTGGAGATAAAACACACACACAAAAAAGGACTCCTTAAAAAAACCCCGAGATTTATTAAAGAAAAAAATGTATTTTATGTTATATATAAATATATTATTACTTGTAAATATAAAGACGTTTTATAAGCATCATTATTTATGTATTGTGCAATGTGTATAAACGAGAAAAAAATAAGGAAGATGCACTTTGCTTTAATATAAATGCAAATAACAAATGCCAAATTAAAAAAAAAAAAAAAAGAACACGAGGTTGGTGTTTTTTTCTATGGGTGTATTCATCCAGATGAATGTTTTTTTCTAAAGGAGTTTATGTTCCATTAAAAAATAAAAACGTACACTTGATCCCAGGCTGTGCTGAGTGGCTTTTTTTAGTGGTGGGGATGAGGCAGGCAGGAGGGATGCTGCTCTAAGTGGGTACCGTGTAGGGGCACCCACCCCAGCGCCGTGTGGGACTGTTCTGGCGTGGGTGGCGCCCAGACAGGGTCAGTCCTGAGCTTTGGGCTCCCTTGCTTGGATGCACCCAGTCAGCCCAAGTCTGGAGGGGCTGGCTGGATCTGGGCAGGTTGCGCCAGGGTGCCCGGATCCCTGCTGAAAATCTGCCGAGGTTTTTTTTTTTTTGTCATTATTGCGCTTTCTCATAATTTCAACTTGAAAGAACCCACATGCTGGGGGTTTCCCTTCAACACTGTCCCAGTCCCTGAAATACCAGGGGAGGCCAAGCTTCTGCGCTGTGCTGGGGCATGGGTGGCCCATGCCACCAGGCGAGGAGGAAAATTTGAGAAGAGCAGAAAGCCAGTCCTTGGTGGGTTTTCCTCAACCCTTTCCTGCCCCCTCACTCCCGTGCCTCTAGAAATAAAAGGTTTTTTTCCTTTTGCCCTGCTCACCCTGTCTTCAGGTGTTCAATGGTCCACTGTGTCACATCCCCCTTGCACATGTCCTCTGCCAGGGAGAAGGTCCCTACAGCTGGTTCTTGCCTTTTGTGGGGAAGGACCTTGAGTGGAAGCCACCAGAGTCCTGGAGACTGAAGGATTTGGAGAAGCAGAAAGTCCAGATGTGCTCGTAAGCTCCCTCCCTGCCAAAGCACTGGAATGTAACTTCCACCCTCTGCTGTACTTCATGTGGTCAATGGCCGTAGCAGTAGATCAGGCTTTGTGAGCAACTAGACCAGGTTCTGTACCTCTGAGGTCCAGCGCAGCCAAGCTAGTATTGATAGCTTGCATCAGATGCTCAAAGAAAAGCGCTCCCACCCGTGTCCTCGACACCCACCCAGGCAACGCCATCAAAGGCTCTACAGATGAAGGGTGAAGCAGATGACTTTATTACAAAACCAGCTGTTGACTCCTCTGAGCTTTTGTAGCCTTTTGTCTGCAGGGGCAGGGCTGTGCAGGCGATCTAGGAGCCACCAGGTCGATGGCCACACCAGGGTTATGGTCAACTATCTGAGAAGCTGGCTTGTACTCTCGAGTAACGAAAAGATAGGTAATATTTGGGTCACTAGTACTTTTCCCACCTCCAAGCTGTTGTGCCAGCAACTAGGCACGGGCCTTTACCCAGAAGAGATGAGGTGATAGTTTTGTCCCTGATGTATGACACCCAAGTAGCAACTAGACACATGGGCACACCAGAGGACTCTGCGTTTAAGAGATGTTTTGCAGAAGTTTTCACCTTGTTCCGTGGGGTACATACCAGATCCTGGTGGTTAAAGCCCTGAAGCCAAATTGCAGCGTAGATGACGTTGTCCCTTGAATTGACATCTGGGACCTTGTCCTTGCTCATTGGTCCACGAGATGTGACGAAATCATTTAACCTTGCTGTTTCTCAGGATTTCCACTCTTGAGATACAGAGGCTACAAACAGTTGCTCCTCTTGCGAGCTGAAAGCAGAGGGTGGGAATACTGTACCCCGAAAAGAACACTCTTCACAGCAGCTTTCCAAAATACACAAGGGTCACAGTAATGCTTGGAGGGCTGGAGCACCTCCCCTGTGAGGTCAGGTGGAGAGAATTGGGGTTGTTTAGTGTGGAGAAGGGCTCTGGGGACACTTTATTGCTGCCTTTCAGTACTTAGAGGGAGCTTAGAAGAAATACGGGGGCAGAGTTTTTAGCGTGGTCTGTAGCGATAGGACAAGGAGTAACGGTTTTAAACTAAAAGAGGGTATATCAGACTACAGACTGGATATAAGGAAGGAATGTTTTACAGTGAGGGTGGTGAACCACTGGCACAGGCTGCCCGGAGAGGTGGTGGGTGCCCCATCCCTGGGAACAACCCCGGTGAGGGT